AAAGTCCTATTTTCCTGCAATCAGCTCTGGGCCCCTGGCCCTGTACAGTTGCACCCACTAGCACACTGGACCCTGTAGCCTTTTATAATGGTGCCCCAAGGTGTTAATGAGGCTTCCTCCTCCCCTACAGCCTCAACCACAAACCACCAGATTACCAATCAAACATGAACAGTAAGCCCATAGGCTATAACCAAAATAAGGTTAAGGAAGGCAGTCTGCCAGCTCACATTTTCCATGGCTCTGTGCTTCTGCTCCCACCGTCTGCTGTGCTCCTTCTTGCGGGCTGCTGCAGCTTCTCTGGGAGTCATTAGGAGTCCACTCTCTCTGCAGCCAAAACCTGCTTTTAGCCAGCTCAGCCCAGGGTTTTTATAGTTCTGGTGTGCCCCCTTCCAGTCACCTGACTAGCTAGCAAGGATCAGCTTTTAACCCCTACCTTGCCAGCAGGCTGTGTCTGGAAAGGTCTGGTCTTAAAGGAGCCGGCCTGCTTTCTGGTAACAGGGCTAGGGTTCCCTGTTACAGCCTCCCATGTGCCTCTGACTGTACCCCAATCAAAAATGACCGTGTGCCTCATCTCAAAACCTGGGACATTCAGGAATATCTGAAGGAAGCTGAGGTTATTCTGTGGAGGCCCATTCCCCACACCTCTGTATTGATTCTTGTTTCTGGGAGCCCTGCATGTGGAACTTACCCAGATGGTCTGCCTTTTAGATCCTCAAGGAAGAGGGCTCTGTGTAAGAGAGGATTTGGCATTTTCTTTTCTTGGGATTTTCTATGGACCTAAGGATCAGGATGACAATGTGCCTCTTTTACACCCTCTGCTATGCAGGGAGGGATAAGGAAACCAGCAATATATAGGCAGCTCATATCTTTTTCTGATAGGGAGGAGAGAAGATCTGCATGTTGACATTTGAAAAGTCTATCTGGGCCATGGTTAATATTTGTTACCAAAAGTCATAGCTGTGTCAGCACCAAGTGGAAATTATTATAGTTTGTATGCATAACAACATGCTTCAGTTCAGTTGTGACATCTAGTCTGTAAATGGCTACAATACATATGAATTAAAAAGGTACTGATAAATAATGTTATACCAAGAATAACAGTTGTACTAGGAGAACATATCTGTCTCTATTTTTATAAATAACTGTGATAATGGAATATTTACAAATAGCAGTAGAACTCAAACTGATTCAAATCAAATAGATTTTCTTTGCTATTCTTATTACAGATTATTGTATTCTTCTACATCTTAATCCATTACAGTTAAAATGTTAGCAGTTATTGCTTTAATATAACCTTTATGTAAATTTATTAAAAGGGTATTGCAACATTCACTGACAATAGTTTAAAGGTATTACAAGTCTTTGGGGAATTGTAATACTCTTTCTCTGATATCGGGGAAAACTGTTGTGCCATTCCACAGACATGAGAGCTATCAATTTATTACTTTATGTAGTTCACTGAGAAAGGAACTGGTAACTATATATTATTTCAGTAAATGAATAAATGGTCCCAGAAAAAAATGAAAATGAATGAAGTAGGTTTTAAAGAGCACAGGGCCTCAAAGTTGATCTATCTATTATTATTTTTAACATATAATGTACTTTACCTTCTGGTTAATGATTTAACTTTCCCTTTAAATTACATCAATGAAAGGATATTAAGGCTCTCATTGTTGTCAAAGAAGTGATGAAGACTGTATTGGTTACCAGTATAAACTTTGTTTAAACAAAAACACAGTAGTATATTTTACACCTAATATAAATCTTTTCCAGGTTATTTTGCAACCGAAATATTACAACTGAGAAGGTTTATGGGGGGAGGGAAAAAGAAATTGGGTGCTATCAAGAAAAAGTCATCATAGGAGTCCTATCGCTAAGAGTTTTAAGCAAGCAGGCATTTTATGTGATTAGATTATGGTTTGGAGCCATACTTGTACTTTGCAAAATAATCCTTCTTTAAAGAGACTTTTGAGCCCTTGCTTTAAAATATGGCAATATTTTATCTAGCAAGTTTTATATTAAATGTTGGATTTAAAGTATTTTTTCTCAAAAGGTTGACCGAATTATTCAATATAGCTGTCACAAGTGTAAACCCTTGCCATTTAACATTTTTAGCCCCAAAATCTCTTTTGTTAAAATCCTTATTTTTTTATTTAAACTAAATATATTAAGCTCAAATTGTACCATCAGACTTCCAAATGTCATTCAGATTCTGAGGGAGTTGTATGTTGTATCTGAGGCTGGAATTAAATTTATTACAGGACAAATATAACAGGGCAGACATATATATATACTCTATATTATGATATACTCTGCATTACCAATAATAGTGTGGCCCAATATGAGAAACACGGAAAATCAAATAAAGAAGAGAGTAAAACCACTACATATACATTAAAGAGGAAATGATCGTCTGCTCCTGACAAACAGCGGAAGAAAGAGGGGCTTGATTTAAGAGTAAATTTAACAGGGGCATTTTAGTAACCTATTGTCAGCTACATTGTATTAAAAATTGTGTGAAGGATTTGACTCAAACTCAGGCATGCTCAGATTTTGCCCCATATTTTACACTTCAGAAATACTTAAGGAATAATTAAACTTAATAAGTGATAGAGGTGTATCAATGAGTTGGAAAACATCATGAGATTGTAAAGCAATATATTTTTAACAACTTGCCTTTGGAATACATTTTCATCTAGAACTTTAGCAATAATGTACCCATTCTTACTTTCACTTTAAACCTCATGAGTGGCAGTTGGGCTCTTTGCAGTCACTTTTGTCATTACTTCTGGGGAGTGGGAATGTCACCCCAAAGAATCAGTTGGAGCGTGGCAATCTGACAATACAAAACGTTGGCATTCATAGCAGCCTTGCCAGTACGGTATACTTCCCTGAAATGTATGCTGGATACACGTGTAATTTGCTTAACTGGAGTGCTCCTGGGCATCTACATACTGATCAAGTGGAAGAAAAACTACTTAAGTATGTAGCATCTTTCAGCCCTGTTGTCTTCTTTTTTTAAAGTTAATTTCACTCCATGTAACTGCCTATTAACTCTAAACATCTACTTTATAGCTAACTGCACTTCATAAAACGACACTTGAAGTAATTTAGAGGGAAACCTGTTAATAGTCTGTTATTAGAAGCCTAGAAAATAATAGGAGCTAGTTAGTTTTACAGCTGGTGTCTCCCCTCATTTTCAAGGCTTCTAATAGCAGTCCCAAAACTGACTAGTGGAAGGCTTGACACTGAGGGGTCTTCTTAGTCACAGGCCTACTAATATACAGCACTAAGGATGCTGTGTACTCAACCAGCATAGTCTACCTTTCAGTTTGGATAAATGCATACTCTGCTTGCACTTATCCAAATCAAAACAAGCATACACTGTCTTTTTTTTGGTCTTAATGCAAATAAAGGCAGTACACTGTACTGGGATTTCTGTCACTGCACAGACAAGTTATATTGATCATGGTACATGTGGGACAGCATCCTTTGATTTTACAGCAATTGTCAAAACACAACATTGATGCTTATGTTAATAATGTACTCATTTTTACTTTCACTTTAAACTTCATGAGTGGCAGTTGGGCTCCTTTGCAGTCACTTTTGTCATTACTTCTGTTTCTCTTTCTTCTTGCTGATTTTCCAGACATGCATAGTTTTCAATAGAAAGAATTGCTGAGATAAATAAGCAATAATAGATATTGCAAACCATAAACCGTAAGTGGAATGAATTGATTTGCTACAGGAACTGTGACAAGACATGCCAGAGATGTGGCTACAAATCAGAGACTCTTCCCCACATGCAACATGCTTGTAAGTCCCATGCCAGAGTATGGCAGCTGCGCCACAACACTGTGTAAGACTGGGTGGTGAAGGCCATTCCAGCCTCAGCTGGGATTGTGTTCCATCAACTGCACCGTTTCAGGCTGAGAGCCAGCTGCGCCTGGACATGGTTGTGGCTGATGAGAACAAGTGTATCATAATGGTCAACGTCACCATCCCATTTGAGAACCAGCAGCAAACTTTTATTGAAGCCCAAAAGCAGAATTCCCTGGCAGATGCCCTGAGGAGCAGGGGATATGAAGTGATGGTGCAGGTGTTGCTTGTCAGGGCATTGGACCATGGGACTCCAGCAAACAAAGCCAAGCATCCCACTGCTGCACCACACCATCAGACAGTCCTGGGACATCCACGAGGAACACATCACAGGTGCGCACCAGTATGTGGACCCCAGCAGACCACTGGCCAGAAGTGACTCAAAAGGGACAGCCTGACCAACACATCATGAACTAAGACCACTTTCTATCTAGACTCCCGCTTACCCCTGCCATTGTACCCTGCGTGCCATTACTCCTAGCTGTGTGTAGCCCTCAGAACCCGCAACACTACAACCACGTGGCTTCTTTGCGCGGGGCCTTCATAACTTCTGCCCTTGGCCAGCATCGCGCTTTTAGCTCCCCAATCCCCACCCTAACCCACCTCCCATTTATATAGGCTACATTCTCTCTATGTAGCCTGGTTGTGTCCTCCCACCCAGCCACCCTGTACCACAGAGTTCCCCTTGTGCGGGTTTTCCACATCCCCCTCCTTCAGCCTCGTATTACAAACCCTCATAAACTATATCTAAACCTTTTGTCCCAAGCAGTTGCTTTCTTCCCCTGAGGACCTAGGGTCAAGCCCAAGCTTCCAGAAATGAGCACTCAGGCCAAACCAGGCCACTGCCAATCCTTGGGGGGGGGAGGCGTGTCATTTTCACTTATTTGGGGG